TTCGATTTTTCTTTCAAAAATACCCAAATAATCTAAATTTTCATCCCTTTTTCCCAAAATTATTTTTAATTTCATCATCCACTTATTTTTCTTCATTTTTACATTAAACAAAAATTAAAAAATTAAAAAATTATATTTATACATTAAATTTAATGAGGGGTATTACATTGAATATTTTGGATAATTACTCATGGTGTTTAAAATTAGAAAGTATCATAAATTTGAATTTTAAAATTTGTTTTTAATAATATGTTTTTTTTTGAAGGAATAATATATTTTTTTGAACATGCATATATTTGCGATTTATATGAATTATATAAAAAAATAATCTTAAAATTGTGCAAAAATTTGCACTAGGTTTAGAACTTTAAAGACCTTAAAATTAAATTAGAAAATTCTTTTAAATTGATTTTTCATTTAAGTAAATTCATTAAAAAAAAACATGGTGATCTTTTTTTAAAAATAAACATTAATTTATTATAAATCAATTAAATATTGAAAAGATAATAGTTGGTACTGTAACTTATATTTCGTGATAATAAATTTTTTTTTAAAATATATTAATTTGTTATTCAAGTACTCATTTAAGAAATTTTTTTCTTTAAATTAACATAATAATTGTAATTACACAACAAAATTAAAATAGTTAAAACTCTAGCATTTAGAAAAATGACATAAGAAAAATATGAACAACAACTCAAATTGATGATATATATATATATATATATGCTTATGCTATTAGAATATAGATTGGCATGTAGGCTTAACATGTGAGAATAAAAAATTAAATAATGAAGTGAAAGAAAAAGAAAAGGGTGTATCAACCTCTATTTTGCTGAGAATTGAAAGGAAAAATGAAATTAAACCCTAACAACCAATTAATCATTTAATTTTTTTTTTAAATTTTTGCATAATTTATTCTCACTTTGTTCCCATGTCATGATTTGATCAATTCCTATTAAGTCCTTAGCTAAGTTAAGAATTTGGCATTAGTGTAAAAGTAATATTATAATTATACACATTAAGAATAATATGAAAATGTATTGTAGGGATTAGAATTGAAGAAAAAAGAAGCCTGAAAATATACTTGCTTATACATTCATAGCTTTGAAACAAAAAGAAAGAAGTCTGTAAGAAAACAAAGAATGAACTAAAAGAAAATTAATTTTTATTTTGGCTAAATTATTTGAAAAAATAAATTTAAACCCTAATCACATAGCTAAAGTATATTCTCCTTGCTTGAATAAAATAAAATAAAACTATAAATCTCCACTATATTAATGACCTAGGAGAACTAGAACTTGGTTGATTTCTGTTGAATTTGAAAAAGAGGAACTCATTTAGGAGGTGTCGCAAATGCCTTGGGAGTGTTGCAAAAGTTCTGAATAAGTTTTGTCTTTTTGTATTACTAGGAGTTAATTGATCAAGAGCAGTCTATTGAAATATTGCAATCCAAGTGGCCAGAAGCAGTAATTGAATGGCTTGTTGAGCTTTGCCTGACATGTTTGACTGGTAAATTTTTTTGTCTTTTCGTATTACTAGGAGTTAATTGATCAAGAGCAGTCTATTGAAATGAAAAATTGAAACGAATAGAGTGACTATTTATGCTATAGTAGAAATGTGGGTGACTAAGCTTCTTTAATACTATTTTTAATACTATTTACAACATTAACTTAGTGGTTACTAAACCATTAATTTTGGAGTGAATTCTAACTATTGATTTACTTAAATGTTTATTAAAACTGATGATTTATGTTAGGTTCCTAGAGAATAATTCACTCTTGTTTATAAAAGCTCCAATTAATGGACAAAATTTTGTATAGTAAGTCTACCATGATATCTTTTTTTTATAATAAGACGAATGACTTCATTGGTTTGTAGAATGTGCATTAGACAAAGACGGAGTCTTAATACTAATTTGAAGAATTACAACTTCATTACAACAAAATAAATTCTCACCTTGTTTTTTGATCAAGCATATTCATTGTTTCCTAACACTTGATCAAATCAGATCAACACTACAAAAAAAATTGCATACTCATTGAAAATAAAAAATTCCTACTAAGATGATTTAGAGGTTTTTAATTCACTAAGAGAATAATTATTCTTTTAAAATTAAATACAGAGTTTATTAGAATTGAATGTCTATACTTTTTAGAACTTAGAGTTTATTAGAGTTGGATGTCTATCCCTCTTAGAACTTAGAGTTTATCAAATTGAATATCTATCCTTTTTAAACTCTTAGACTTTGTATATTTTTGGTGTTTCTTTATTAATTCTAATAGAATAGAACATCAATCATAACTAATCTTAAGAAACAAAGAATCACCAAACCACATATAAGAATGGTTCTAATTGCATGTTTATAGAAATGGTAGTTCTAATATCATCTCTTTGGGGAAGGTCTAGTAGTTTTTTTATAATTATAAATAATGATGTAACTTTAGGTTATACAGTTTTGAACATAGCTATATAATATCTTTTTTGTTAGTTTCTTAGTGGGGCTCTTTTTGGCTAATGTCTCCATAATTTATTCTCTCTTTGTTCTTAGGAAATTAGTGATTAACCATAAAATTTCGTTACACTTTTCAATGAATTTAATAGCCAAGATCAGATTAGTGATTAACCATAAAATTCCTCTTAAAAATTGATTCATTGTTGGCACCAACAAAAGGAGTTGGTTAAGATTAATGTGCACATGTCAATGCTTGAGAATCATAACTTAGAAGTGAAAAGGAAATTAACTAAAAGAAAATTATTTGATTTTCTAATTTATTTATAATGAATTGTAAAAAATAGATTTATACCTCAATGACCCAACCAAGCATTTCCTTCTTACTTGAATTAAACATTAAATCTCCACTAACTTATTAACTTACGAGCACTAGAATTTAGTTGATTTCCTTTTGCATTTGAAGAAAGGGAACTTATTTAGCACGAGGTGAAGATGACTTTTAAATGTTGCAGAAGTTCTTGATCAGTGGTGGAGTGTAAGGGGTTAAGGGGAAATAAATAGACCAACAACTCTTATTGATATTTACAAATGTGTTGCACCAGGAAGAGGAATAGGTAAGACCACTAATTGAAAAAGTAAATAGTGATAACATGTACCCTTGAATGCCGCTCAAAGATGCTAAACACTGATTAATCTGTGAAGTTCTTAGAAGTTCTAAAATTTCTAAAAATCTTGGTAGCAATTGGGCGTGTCCTGGTTGGACCAATATCGCAACTCATGTGACCAAAAGCAATAGTGGACCAACTTATTGAGTTTTGCTAGACATATTTGATTATTAGATTTTTTATTTTTTGTTAGTACTAAAGTTTATTGATAAAAAAGAGTAGCTTACAGGGATGAATAGTTGAAATAAAGAGAATGAGTATTTATTTTATAACAGAAATGAAATTGATTGAGACTCTTAATTACCATTTTTAAATTGCAACATTAATTTAATGGTTACCAAATTATTAATTTTGGGTCAAATTCTAACGGAAGATTTACTTGAACATTTGTTATAGAATATGATAAATTATGTTTATCTATAGGAATTTTGTTGGCTCTTATTCTACCCAAAAAAGATTTTTTTTTTTTAAAAAGAATTTATCCGAGCTCCAATTAATGAAAAAAATTATACATACTAAATTTATCATGATAATATTTTTCCTGATTAAATGTATTATTCTTATTGACTATGAATTACTGTCTTAAATCTACAATAAGAAGTTTTTCTACACACTAATAATAATAATAATAATATTCTCTGAGGCCAATATTTTAAGGGGATATAAAATATAATATTCTATGGATTTTATACTTTCTCTTATTACATATTTATAGAACTTATTAAAACTGAGAACAAATTTATGATGTTAAGTTTGTTCCCTACATTCTAATACTTGATCAAACTCTGTCAAAACACTATAACAAAAATTGCATTTTTTTTAATTAAACATGAAGAAATCTTTAAAATCTACTGTTATGTGTGTGCGTGTATATATAATAGGTAAATACTAACTATATACTCCGTTGAATAAATAACTAAATAAATCTTATTACATTTTGCATACATAGTATTGTATTTCTCAGTGAATGTATTTCTAAATAAGATTTTCAATGATATATTTAAATATGAAATAAGTAATTCTTCCTAACCATATAGAAACCGTCGATTTCATTGAAATATTATATATGCCCTTCTGTAAAGTATTTAAAGAGGTATAAAAAAAATACCTAATTGCATTTATATAGAAATAATAGTTTTCATGAATCTCTTTGTTGATTTTGAATGATTAGAAAAATATCTAATATTAAAAAATCTGAATGTTGTGAATATCGTATTAAAAATACTTTATCTCTTTGATATGAATCATTAGTACCTTTAATATTATTTAATCATATGATAATTATATATTTCAAGACCAATATGAAATTCAATTGTAAGATTTACTAGTATTATAACAAGAATTGAAGCAAACGTGGCCATTGGATCAATTAGGAGCAATTTTTTTTTGACATTGATATATTGATGGTTGATAATATATTTAACTATATATATGTTGAGAAGTAAAAATAACTATATATATAGATATGCAGAGAAGTAAAAAGAAAAACGAATGTAAGAAAATAGAAAATGAACTAAATTAAATTTTTTCAATTTTTATTTATGATAAAATTATTTGCATTAAACAAAACTATTTAAGCTCAATTCAACAAACTAAACATTTCTTTATCAGAAGAAAATAAAATAAAATCTTAAATCTCCAATGAATTACTTAATTTAGGATACTTTGAGATTGGTTGATTTTCCATGGGGCTTGAAAAAGATGAACTCATTCAAGAGGTGGTGGAGATGCTTTTTGAGTGTTGCAAAAGTTCTGAATAAGTTGTGGAGTATTTGGGACTAAGGAGAAAATAATTGACCAACAATTTTCGTTGATATTAAAAAATGTATTGCAGCATGATGAGGAAGGGGTGAGACCACTAATTGGGTAAGATAAAAGCGATGGCAGACATCCCTGAATGTTATTTAGTGATGCAAAACACTGGTTAATTTGAGCAAATCCTGGAGTTCCTGGAACTCCTGGAATCCCTGGAAATCTAGGCAATCCTGAAGTTCCTGTAAATCTTGGAATTTCTGGAACTCTTGAAAATCTAGGCAATCCTGGAGTTCCTGGAAGTCCCGGAGTTCCCTGAAGTCCAGGAATTCCTGGAAGTCCCGGAGTTCCAGGAATTCCCGGAAGTCCCGGAGTTCCAGGAATTCCCGGAAGTCCCGAAATTCCAGGAATTCCCAGAAGTCCCGAAATTCCAGGAATTCTCGAAAGTCAAGGAATTTCAGGAATGCCCGGAAGTCCCGGAGTTCCCGGAAGTCCTGGAATTCATGGAATTCCCGGAAATCCCGGTGTTCCCAGAATTCCAGGTAATCCTGGAAATCTAGGCAATCCTGGTATTAGTTGAGAGTAGGTTAATGGCATCAACGTTGTAATCCATGTAACTATAAACAATACTATAATGCTTTGTTGAGCCTTGCTTAACATGCTTGATTGGAGTTATGTTGCGACGGAAAAAGAATTGGTTGATGAAGAGAAGGCTAATGGGATGAATGGTTGAAACAAAGAGAGTTGGTGTTTATATAATAGTGATTTTATGTTTTTAATTAGTATTTTTATTAATAAAACCCCCCAAACCATAAATTTTCTTTACTGTTATCTTTTAATTAAACCATTAGGTAAGTGGTTACTAATTAAGCCATTAATTTTGGATTTAAATTTTAACATTTTATTATATATATTTAAATAATATAAAAATTATTAAAAATGACTTAAATTATTGTGGATAATTACTCATGGTGTTTAAAATTAGAAAGTATAATAAATTTGAATTTTAAAATA